TAAAAATTCATAAACTTTTATATAATTTAAAAATCTTCAATTTTACTATATATTATTAAGTAAAATTTATAAAATCCGGTAATTTATTGTAGGGCAGTGTATGCCACTTTACTTTTTTTGCTTTGGCTGTATTATTTCAATACTTTGAACTTTGCATAAAATATGACCGTGATATCCTAGACGACAACGGTAATGTATTTTTTTCAAAGAGTTGTTTTTTAGGCGTTAGGTTTACGTTTAGGGCTTAGGGTTATTAATTAGGCTTAGGTTAGGGTTAGTGTTAGGGGTTTAAATTTTATGGTTTAAGGTTAGGTTAAAAAATTTCGGTTATAAAAATCCCCCCCCCCCCCGAAAATGGGGGACTCGAGGCCGTCAGGCCGAGAGACACGGTGACCATTGCGCTGAAGGCGTTATGAATCAAGTGGTAAGGAATATTTAGATCCATCGATACCATTCTTGCAAAATCCAAAGAAAAAACGTGGAAAAGGGTGTTCAATAGGCACCAAGAGATTTAAATCAGCTTGTGAAACTCCTAAATCTAATGCAAAGGGTCAATGACAATATAGAAAATGTGGAGAAGTAGGACACTATCAAAATGATTGCAAGGTACAATCGGATGGTAATTAGTTAGTTTTATGCGAAATGTTTGTATTGTATTATTTTACTCAATTTATTGTATATTAAATCTATAGTGATAAAAATAACGACAGTATACACGATAATAATAACCACGTGATATGAGGAACATGCCATGGCGATGTCATTTTAATATTTTTATTTATTTATTTTTTTATTATTTATTTAGGTTCTTCTCTTAGGCTAAGAACTGGACGGAACCTTCGAATGGAACTGTTCAGTTCGTCACCGCAGCAAAGGTAAGTCAACACGAATTTTTTTTTATTTTTTTTTTTTTATATTTTTTTATTTTAATAATTTTATTTATTTTTTTCTTATTTATTTAGGTTCTTCTCTTAGGCTAAAAACTAGACGGAATCTTCGAACAGAACCGTCAAGTTCATTACCGCGGCGAAGGTAAGCTGACTAATTTCAATTAATAATTTTCTTTTTTTTTATTGGTTAGATTGGTGCCACCTCTGCCATCTCTTAGGCTAAAAATCGGACAGAACTGTCCAGTTCATCTCCACAGCGAAGGTAAGATGACTAATTATTTTGATTTTTTTTTTTTTCATCACTTCGACTGGAATTATCAGATGATACAGGATTTTCGTTACCGCAGCATAGGTTTTGACGAATTCTTTGATTTTATAATTATAATTTGTAATCATTAATTTTTTTTTACATAATAAGAATTACAAAAAAACTTTCTTTAGTTATTTATGTGATTCTTCTGTCCCAATTTTTTTTTTAAAAAAATCATATATAAACAACCGTTGTTCCTATCAATATTGATATTAATATTAATATTGATATAAAAATGGCTCTCATAGTTCCTGCATGAAGCTAACCAAAGTTATTTCTATTCCTTCTTTTTGGGAATGGTCATAGCTTCCACTATATAAAATTGATCACCCGACACTAACATCTATATATCATAAACTGTATTAGTTTAGATTCTCTTTTCTTAAATAGCGTCAGCTGAAGATGGTTTCCTTGTAATAATCATTCCAGATTTATATGAATATCTTGAAATTGTATCGTTATATCCGATTTATACCGATATTAATATTCAAAAAATTTATTCAAATTAATCGAATCAATAACTTTTAAACACTTGTCTTCACTTCCTTTGCTCCTATACTTCTTATTAAATTACATTGTACATTCACCTGGAAAGTTTTTGTTAAATTAAAATTTCGCAACATTATAATTCAAATTAAAAAACTCGTCGATACGTTTAAAATTCTTTTACCCGTCTCGATCATTTTATTTATATTTTAACTATAATAGGTTCTATGTAGAATTGTTTTGCTATTTTGAAATATAAAATTATAATCTTTATGTAATATGGTTATAGATCTTTAAGAAATTAAAGAAAGATGTAAAAATTGAAAATTAAACTTTTAAAAAATCATTTTTAGCATTAAAACACTATAAAATTTTGCGAAAAGGTTAAACTTTAATTTATTGGAAGGAAAATTTAAACGGTACACTATGCATTCGGTACACCCATGCTCAATGTGTCGCATAGTATTAAATAAACCAATCTTACTTGCCTTTAACCCAACCCCTACCTAACCGAACCTTAACCTTAACCTTAATCCATTGTCACAGGTGATGGCGGCTGTAACAATAGCGAGTGACAAATATGATTTCACTCACTAAAAATGAAACCCTGATGTGTGACGCGGAGTGTCAGTTTATTTATATAAATCCGAGGTGCCATCGAATTCACGTTTAAATTTCCCTATACATATTCAAAACCATATTATATAGGTTAGCTATAAATCTAACAGCACAAGCCATACTACCAGAAATATAAAGCCGTTAAATAAATAACCGAAATTAGATCCGAAACAAAAAAAAATATAAAATAAAAATAAAAATAAAATTAATAAATAAACTTAATGTGAGTAACAGAAGCAAAAATCATAGTCATGTACCAATCCCTCAATCCAAGACGCACTAAAACGATCGCCCATAAAAAAAAAAGATCAGTAATTCACGTAACCGATGTCCCGTCACTTATCATGAGGAAGGACTAAGTAACTTTCGTTACATCTCATCATGCAAAACAACAAACTTAACGACAAAAGCTTTTCCATAAATATAACCTGTATTATTATCTTCATTTAGTCAAGTCTATTCTTCTACCTAATTTGTAATTCCTTGAATCATACCTAATATACTTTTTTTGATCTATTTAGATAAAGCAGTAATTAACTCTTTTATTAATCTTTGAAATAATAATTTAAATTAAGATAATTAAGCATATAAATAGTATTTTTTTTTATAAGAATTAGTCATAACGATAATAATATTTTATTAAACTATAATATAGTGATAATTAATTTTCATTACAAATGAAAATAATATTAAACCATTTGAAAAGATTTAAAAGAATCACATTAGATCACAATTGTTTAAATATTTTATTGGTTCAGATCAAATATCTAACATGAAGAATTATTACGAAATTAGGAAATTCAGAAAAAGGCCTTAAATATTAAGAGAAATAATTAGGTACTTCAAGTTTAATTTAAACCTTTCAAATGTCATTACGGTAGAAATAAAGGCGAGGAATAACACTAGTGATTCATTTTGTTTCAACTAATACAAATTACCAAAGATTTAATCTTGAATTTTAGAAAGTGAGTATTCAATTTAACTAAATCTATGAGAACTTCACATTGTTGAATCCCATTGATTATGATAACTAATACAATAATAACTTAATGCGTCTTGTCGCTTAAAAATATATAGTTGCTTTTAAATTTTAAGACTGCTGAAATTTTCTTTTGATTATATAATAAATTCGTATCACAAATAATGATTCGAGTAAAATATCTTAAAGTTATATTACATTTGAGACATTAACAATGTAAATTACAGCTATATTAAAAGTTTCGATTTTAACAATCGGCTAGATTATCTTTAATAGTCGAAAATAAACAACTTAAAAAATAATAAAAGATCAATGACATTGCAAAGATGTTCCTTTTTACAAGCTCCCTGAAATAAATTAATTTTTAATATACATGACTACTATTATTATTAATACACTACTTATTTCTGCTATTAAATAAATTATCAATGAAAATTTTCACATGTATAATCCTTCAACAATTAATATTTTGTATAAAATATTGATATATAAAAATACAAATACGGATTTAAAGAGGTAATTTTCTTGTTCTCCATTTTATTGCGAGAGAAAAAATATTCATACAATTCGTTAGTGGATTAATAATCCAACTTTATTTTTAACATATTTGAAACTATATATTAAATGTTAAGCTTTCACTTCGTTTGAATTGATTTAATTTTCCTTAAATAAAAAAATTTATTTTTAAAGTAAAATAATTACAAATTATCTATTGTAAAAATCAACCCATAGTTTTTCTTAAATTAAAAGGATAAAATAAGAAGAGTTAACTTTCAAAATTTAAATCCAATAAAGTTTATCATGCGGGCACTCCACAAAGAAAAATATGAAAATATAAGAAAGGTTATGTATAAGGTTACAGATTAGGAGTTAAAACATTGATTGTTATTGATATATTGAGATTTTAAAGATTTAGGGTCGATGGTTGTTAAGGAATCGGGTAAATTTGGTAAGCTTTTTATTTTAGTATTATTACACCAGAGTGCCGTTAAAGAGTCGGGTAAAGTTGGTAGGATAGTTATTGGTGTATTAGAGCAATGAAGATAAGTTAAAGAGTTGGTAAAGTTGGTAGGATAATAATTTTAGTATTATAACAAATAAGTTCCCTTAAGAAGTTGGGTAAAGTTGGTAGGATAGTTATTTGAGTATAAAAGCAATGGAGTTTCGTTAACGAGTTGGGTAAAGTTGGTAGGATAGATATTTGAGTTTCATAGCAATAAAGTTCCGTTAAGGAGTTGGGTAAGGTTGGTAAGCTATTTAAATGAGTATAAGAGCAATTAAGTTCCGTTAAGGAGTTGGGTAAGGTTGGTAAGCTATTTAATTGAGTATGAGAACAATCAAATTCCGTCAAGGAGTTGGATAAGGTTGGTAAGCTATTTAATTGAGTATAAGAGCAATTAAGTTTTGTTAAGGATTTGGGTAAGGTTGGTAAGCTATTTAAATGAGTATAAGAGCAATTAAGTTCCGTTAAGGAGTTTGGTAAAGTTGGTAGGATAGTTATTGGAGTAAAAGAGCAATCAAGTACCGTTATGGAGTTGGGTAGAGTTGGTAGGATGGCTTTAGTTCTATTACTTTCGAGTAACATTAAGGGGTTGTTGGGAAATTTTTGTAGGATTGTTGCTTTATTATAAGAGAACATATTACCAGAGCAATCAAGTTCCGTTAAGGTATTGGGTAAAGTTGGTAAGCTGGTAACATAACAAGTGAGTTTTGCTAAATTTCGATATCTTTGTAATTCGCCTATGGCACATATGTAATCCTTATTTGTGTCGGTAATGGTTAAATTAACAACAGTATCTTCATAGATAATTGATTCAAGGTTTTGATCCTTTTTTCTAATTCATTAATAATTTCTTGGTTGTCTTTGTTTATTTCTTCTCGTTCTATAACCTTTTTTTCTAAATTATAAATAGTTTCTTGTTCAGTTTTGGTTTCTTCTCGCTTTTTAAACTTTTCCTCCAAATTTTTGAACTGTAAACGCAAATCTTCGTTACTTTGTTCTAAATCCTTAATTTTATTTTCCAAGTTTGTTACTGCTTGTTCTAAATTTCTTCTTAAAACCATTATGTATTAAGAGTTTTTACAATTGTTCTAAGGATAATATTCTCTTTTATGCAAGGAAAGTTCAGCCATATAGTAAATGGCTTAATTAATTTCCATAAATACTCTTTTTTTAAAAAAGGATCTAATCCATTCTTGTAATGGATCGTCGGTATCGGTATTTTTATTTTTATTTTTTTTTTTTCGACATACTCTCAATATAAGCAAAAATGAA